GAATGTTGCAGGTCTTGTCGTTATTTCTATCTTAAGATACAACTAGAAGTGTAAGCCGAGTAGTTGAGCCACTACCAAAGAGTCCATAGCGTCGAATCAGCCGCCGCCAATCAATTCATCCATTTGCACCTCTAGATACAACTATAGTAATAGTGTGTCTTTTACATTACTCAGATAAACGGGCAGATTTGATTTTCTTATTTCAGAATAGAAGAAAATCAAAAGATCTGAAACTACTCTCATTAAGACCTGTCTCTATGCAAAGTTTCAAACAAAAATTTGAAAATCAATTTTTCTGCTACCACAGCATTCATTTAAAAAAAAAGTGTAGAAGTACAGTATCTCTGTAGCAATAAACTAAGGATATGAAATCTTTTCATAATATTCATAGGTCATTAGAATCGACATAATGCGCATAGTCTCGACTCAAAAGCAATTTATCAGTTGTAGGACTTTTCTCGTTAGTTATTAGCTTTTCTTTTTCTTTAAGCCCCTTCATAAATTTTCAACAGCACAAACTATTGTTGACATAAAACCACCAATCGAAATGATTATTGAATGTATGCATATTTTTCGGCAAATTGATGGCAAAGTGATTGTTCGAAAGATAAATGATAATGGTAAGAAACAAGCAATCTTTTTGAAGATTATTCATTGAATAGATAATCGATATATTGAAAATTTGTTAGGTCTGTGTTTTATAGTGAACTCTGGAATAGTTTTGTTTACTATTCGAATTCACCAAAGAAAGTTTTTCATCACTATCGTGGACTTTGATTAAATTAGGGATGCAACAGTGAAGACGGTGACCGCAATTAGATTCATTTTGACTTTTTCAATCGGAGAAGGTTTATTTAAGGAAAAGATCTGAATTTTATAGAAACATGACTAAACCATGATAATCAAGCTTATCTCGAACGAGAAAATTGAACTCGAAAATCTACTTTTTCGATTTCATAATTGAGCTCTGTAAAACTTTTGAAATGTACTTACAAAAGCTTTATCGTGCTATTCGAAAAAGTTATTTACTTTTACAAAAAAAATCCATAATACGATTTCTTAACAATATCTTGTTAAATTATCTTATGAAAGTTTATTTTTCTCGAGAATTTATCAGTAAACTTGAAATTCTTAATTTAGATAATAAAAAAAAATCATTTCATCATTACCACAATCAAATTCGAATGATGTTATAAATGAAAAATTACAACAATTAGAAATATTTCGTCTTGAAAATGAACGACTTCATTCTGAATTAAATACTTGTAAAACAGAAATATGTGTTTTACATAGTGAATGTGATAGTTTAATAAATACAATTGTTAAACTCGATATTGAATTAACTCAAGCTGAATATGAACGTCTTGCTCAACAACAATCAAGGAAAAAATGATTAAATTAGATGTAGGTTTTTTTCATCGTTGTGACAATCTATTCATGGTTTATTCGTTATTTATTATTCACTTTTTCGATAACGATGTCTTAAAATAATCTAATTTTATTTTTGCATGATTTTGTTTTTTTTTGTGAAAATATACTTATAGTCTAAGGTTAGACAAAATTGAGTTATATTTTAGATCTTATTTTTTTTTCTAATAAACCATATTATGGATAATGATTGCCATATTGATGCTAGATTCTAATACCAGGGTTTCTAATGGCAAGTGTACACAGCATAAGCAAAACGTACAAACATTTGCAGCTTTGAAAATACACGCTGCTGTACATTTGTCTTAAAAAGCAGAGTGTACATTGTACACTTTGCAAGTGAGATTTTTTAAATGTACTTTTAGCTCAAAAATTATATTTAAACGATGATTTGATTCTGGTCTATCTTTTATTTTTTCTATTCGTTGACTGACATCCTTTCTCTTCATAATTTATGTTCTTTTCAGATTTATATAAAGTTGTTTCCGATACTGATGTGATAGCTACACAAAAAAAAAAATCAAAAATTGCAATATTCAACTTAGTTTTCTTCAAATCATATCGGTTTTCATGATGATGAAGAGGATCATGAGAGTTTTGATAGATTTTCTGATTATGTAGAATTTTGAAAAATAATAAATCAAGGTTCTTATACTGATGTGCTTTCCTAATTCTATACTTTCGTGTAGTGAATCGTTCTAAATGAATCACACACAGATTGCTTTTTCCTTGCTTTCTATTTACGTATCTAGTATTATTCTCTATTTTTTACTGAATAAAACAGATGTGAAGATGTTTTTTCCCATTAAGGCTATCCATAAATGAAGTCTAGGCGAAAATCATTTTTTGACGCTTCCTTATCTCTGCTTCAGACATCCGATATATAAAAATTTCAGAAAAAGTCTGCTTGTTCATATATATTTTGTAACCCAATCTAACGTTGAGATTAATCTTGGATAGGCCTAAATAAATCCCAGTTTGACATTGAACTATTTAACTATCAGACTTCAGCCTAATTCGTACAAAATCATGCTTAGTTGAAATTCAAGGTTGGCCTTAAACAATCACTTCTTTTTGTTATGATAGCATGCTTCTCTTTCTTTTGTTTAATTGCATTTATATAATAAAGTATAATATTAATATTTCTTAGTATTTTATATTTGATTTTTTTATTTGATTAAAACATATCGGACATCTACTGTCGCGTTCTTTGGTTAATGCCTTTAGATGACAATAAAATAAAATTTCAAAGATTTAAATAGTAGTAAAACTGCTTCTTCATGTTTTTTGTGTTCTTTTTTCTTCAGCAATAGTGACAGAAGATGACAAGATGGTAATATTGGATGATAAGTCTATTTGTTTTTATATTCCACTAGCGGAGGTACCCGATGTTAGTCGAGATAATTTAATAATATATACTTGACATATTAGAAAACAATATCGTTATGATCTCCTATCAATTTTTGGAATTTGATGTCGCAAAATATACTCAAATCACTTTCTGTTTTCAGCTGATATTTTCGTCATTTTTAATTTTTTTAAAAACATTTCTATCCTTTTCAGTGTTCTTTTTGTTTGATCGACTTCTTTTATTATAAAAGACTCTTTAATGAAATACAAAGTCCTTTGCAAAGCTGTTTGATACACAAACTTCTTGGTTTTCGTATCAAGGGCTAAAACATAGAAATTCTTTCCAATTCCAACTCTCAAGCATACTGCATTCAGTTTATCATGAGAAAAGGAAGTACTCTCTAGATTAATACCAGCCACCTTAAACAATTGCTCTTCAGCATTGTTGCTAGACATCGCGAAAGCAGCAGGTATAGGTAACTGAAGACGCTTATACTCAAACGGTATATCAGTAAGAGCCATGACTGTTCCCGGTATGAATACATGGTCACTCTTTGCACAGCCTGACGAAATTCTTTTTCGTAACATACACTAAAGATAGAGATTAAGGAATTTTTTACTTTTACAACCTGGGTAGAGTTAGGCCCAGTTGCCTTTCTTTCCTTGCTTGTCGCGTCAATCTCGTCTCAATTTTTCTCTAGACTAAGGGGGATACCATAGAAAGTTTGATGGCGCTAGTTATTACCAGCATCCAATGCACAAAGAAGTGAAAAACAGACGTCGTTGTTTGTATAAACAGAAGAAGAAACGGGCTTCCATACCCTATACTCATATTCAGTACTTGAATCCCTTATTCGAACTCATTGCCTCAGAAAGCCCTTAACTAACTCTTCTCTTGACCACATAATTTTGATTAGCTGGCTTCATGAAAGCTGATTTCCTACTGGCTTTCGGACACCCAATAGATTTCGGGGCGAGCGATCCTCAGATTCTAACTAATCACGTCTAAAACTCCCTGC